TGGAAACAAAAATTTTGTCTAGGCCACACTGCGAAGGAAAATTTTATATCAAGACCACAAGCAGTTACATCCACTGTGACTCTGAGTTGAAAGCATAAAACATTATATGGAGAAAACTTGGTTCCTACAGAACTTACAAAATGAGGTATAGATCTAAAGGGATTCCCCTTTTGGCTTCTTCTTGCACGGATGATAACTGACGTTGAGCTTGCCTTAACTCCATTGTGTTGCCAGTAGTTCTATCCTGACCGCCAGACTGGTGAGATTTTTTATCAGATTGCTTTTCAAGAATGTTGATAAGTCTTTGAAGATCACTAGATGATTGTCCATAGTCTCTGATCATCCCATGTAACCTTGCTCTCCTTGAAACTGCCTGCTTCAACGGCAGGACGCAGGCAGTGAGTACAAAATTATGTAGCTATGATGATTATAATAATTTTGACAAAAAAATCAAACACAGAAGTGTAGTGACTCAAATGATGAAATAAACAAACTGCTTTCACGTTTAGCATATCCTTATCTCAACATAAAGCTTTAAAATGAGATAAAGTTAAAATTGTAATGTCCCAAAGGGACCTAGAATAAACATGTTATACCAGTTAATGAGCTCAACAACATACCTCTTAAGCTTTTCCTATATTCCGTTAACATTTCAGTCAACACTTTTATGCTAAAACATTTAAGAAACTTTTATGCTAAAGCAAAGCAAGCTACATAACAGGGTGTAGATTTGGTTTAGGCAAGTTTGTCAATAGCTAGAATTAACCTATAGATGCACGTGAAGGGGAGTGTTAAGTGGTGTTATCCAATCTGTTTAAAGTTGTTGTAGACTTAAATTCAGGTTAAGCCTCTTCACTTATTGCCTTTTAAGTAGGATGTTTCACATGGTTTCAAGAGCCCAAGTTGCTTCTTGTTTTATAGCACTTTATTTGTTGTCCATGTGCTAGGCCAGTTTGTTTCAGTTGTTAGCCTACAGGGGCACTTGCAAGTGGTGCTATCCCATATGTGTTTAGAGTTTGTTGTCGCCTTATATTTAGGTTGCGCTTCTCCACCTATTACCAATTGGTTTTAGGTTGGATGCTTAACAGTTTTATTAGTTTTGGATACATACTTCACCTCCTAAATGTAGCAACATCAAAGATTTGAAAAGACATAGAATATCACCCATACTTCAGATCTACATTTTAAAATGTAGGTTGATCATGGATAATGCAGAATATTCCATGAATATAAAGGTCACTTAACATAAAGGAGCCAATATCCTCCCACACTACTTCCAACATCAGGTTTCACACATTTTTCTGACAAAAAATAGATAATGTGTTAACATCATGAAGGCAAAGCCCTCAAAAAAGAAGCATTAAAAAACATATGAAGAAAAGTTAACTGGAAAGGAGAAGTAATTAGGAAGCAAACCCCACAATTCTAGCAATATTTTGATCTCATTGTTGAGTTATTAATGAAAAAGAACACTAGAACATGTAGACCACATACATCGCTTGCAAACAAATAAGAGAGGAATTATGATGAATAAAACTATCATTGGTAGGGGAAACAAAGGCCAAAATATTCATGGCCAAGAACACCAGATTACTGATGTGCCGGAACAACCTCTTTAGCCACCTTGCATTCCATGTGTCTAATTCGTTTCCAACCTTGAATGGTAATTATCAGGTATCATGCATGAACTTCCAGGCACACCTTTGCATTTCAAATCAATAAGTGCTTAATTTAACATCGAATAATCAGAGTGAACAAGAATTTTCAAATCCCACTGAATCAAGGGAAAGCAACTATACTAACTACAAAGACAGTAGGGTCAGAGACTTCGAAAATCCAAGTCTGACAAGTTCATTTATGTCAACAATTTGATCGCATATACTGGAACAAAGAAAATGAGCTGGATTAAGCAATGGAAAAGGATTGTTCCTCACAAGAATACCAACTTATAACCCATTAAACACAATCCATTCAAGTTTTTAGTATCAACAGCAAACTGTTAATCTTGCTTTTTTTCCTTTTTTTTTGAAAAGCAGACTGTTAGTCTTGTTAAGAAATTTCCTTAGAATTTTCTGCACCATCACCCCCTACTCATCAATCTTTCAATTTCAAAGTAAACTAATCCAGTATAAGAAAGACCCAAATCTCAGAAGCCAAGCAAAATCATTAAAGAAATCTTCCTAACAAGATCCAGACAGCTACTGCACTATAAAAGCACTCTTTGATCATATAAATGCAAGCAAAAAGGAAGAGAAAGAAAGGGAGAGAGAGAGAAAGAAAAAGGCCGGAGAAAGGCCAACCTTTGTATAATTTTCATCAAGGGCCATTGCCAGACTGCAATCTGCAATTGCATCAGCAATTTGACCCAAAGCTTGGTGCGCAGCAGCACGATTGCAAAAGCATATAGCTGCAAAAGGCCGTGACTCAACATTGCTTGACAAAGCAATAGTGTAATGCTCTCCTGCTTCTGTATACCTACCAGAACGAACTGCTTCATTCCCTGCATTCTGAAATTACAAAAAAGGAAAAAGAGATAAATGAAAACAAAAGAATTTGTGTACATTATTAGGCACATTTGGAGTTGCACACAATGGATCGGTCAGCAGGAAAAGGGGAAAAAGTTCACAACAAAATGTGGGTGGATTAAAGAAAAGATAAGAACATTAGATTTATTCCAATTGTTACTTGTTCAATTTCATTTTTACAAAATCCCCTTCTCACTACTTGATGAGTTCCTCATCAACCATAAAATCCAATTTATGAGTTGTTTTTCCCATTCCCTCCATGAATACCAAGTGAACATTTTGTATGCCATCTTTCCACCATCATCAGATGTTTCCTAATACTACTCATGACACTATTAACGCTGTACTTTTATCCTCATCAATCACCTTTGACATCCAGAGGACACTACTGAAAAGAACACAGTGATTTTGACAGATGATATGTGACCCACAATCTTTTGTTTGTTAGTCCACAAGTGTAATAGCACTTCTACTCTATTTCCTTAGTTGTATCAATCATCAAAAAACTTAAGCATACAAATAACATCAATACAGAAAATATGATATGTTTTTTTCTTGTTTTTGCTACACAACTTTTTAGAGAGGATTTATCCCTGGCAGGTAGGACATGGGTATCATACCCGCAGGCTTGGGCATGATGTGGAACCATACCAATGAGGCCAAGCTTTAGGGTCAGAAAAATGACATGGAATAGCATTATCTTCACGTCAAAGAACCACCAGAACTTAAACTATCCCAGTATTCAAGAGAAAATGAATAAATGAACAGCATATTGCTTATATCACATACCTTAAGGCGTAAAAGTTCTCGAATGGTAACAGCCAATGTAACAGACATTTCCAAAATTTTGCTTCCATGCCTACAAAATTACAACCAGAATCAGGAATCCTAAAGTATGGTATGCAAAGGAAGGACACGATGGAACAGAGCACTAGAAATCTGTAAACTAATCATGAACAAGATAATGTATTACTTGTCCTTCACAGATCCCACTTGCTCAAGCTGCTGAAGTAAATCAAGTGCCTTCTCAAGCTTTCCCATATAGAAGTATGATTTGGACATCAAGTGCCACCTCCACAGCATTGGAATAGAATAACATCTCGAACCATCTATGCTTGCTAACTGGTTACCAGTCTCCGCTTTAGAAAAATTCTTTTCAGCAACATAAAGAGATTGCTCACACAACTGAGTTGCCTCTTCATATTTCTTCAGCTGCAAGAGGCCACAAATAAATGCAATTCAGACTTAGTTTGTTTCTGATGACATATGAATGAAATGCTTAAGGAAAAAAACAATGACACAAAAACCTTAAAGGAGGAAAATGGAAAAACTAAAGGGAATTCCAAGTTAAAAGAGCACAGACCATACAAAGAGCCTCTGCTTTCATTTCAAGCAATTTTTCAGAATATAAACTAATAGACAAGGCCTCAGCAATTGTATCTAATGCACTAGATGCTGCATTGGATGACTTCTGCTCCAAAAGTATTGCAGAACGATCTGTAAGCTCATCCACTCTCTGCAGGTAAAAAAGGCAGAGAGTCAGTCACCACCAACATATTAGCAAATGAACTCCTGCTTTCTTATGTTATGGGGTCTCAAAGACTTAATTATGCTGCCAAACCCTGGCAAGCAAGCTGAAAAAGCCCTTTCCCATTTTTTATTTTATAATAATAAGGTAAGCTTCATAGCTCCAACCTATACAAGGCCGTCACTTACTTAATGATAATGACATATAGACCCAAAATGTGCATACCTGAGCCTTTTGGAGGCCATCTGCAGCATCTATTGTAATTCGGCGATCCAAGCACACACCAGCTCCTGAACCTAAGCACTTACTGAAATACCGTATGGCAATATCAGTTTCCCCCAGCAAAAGGTGACAACTGCAAAGTGCACACCATGTATATTAGAATAGTAGTATTCCTGATAGGAAATTAGTGAATTTGGCAGCATATCTAACATTTCTATACATAGACTAGGCATTCTTAGATGCAAAGGGCAGTCAACTCCTCTCCTTTGAATGACATTCTTGAGGATTAGAGCAGCTTTAGCAACAACGAACTTTATAACTTCTAACCAAATTCTTCTTCAATTTTATTTTATTTTATAGCTCCAGCAAGACCTGTACGATTTCCAAGTCCAACTAGATGCTTCCAAACTTCAAGATAGTAATGTCGTAAATAACAAAATAATCAAACAAAACTAAACCATTAGACATGCAGAGCAATTAAGTAGAATAGCCACTTAATTAGACAAACCAGTTCCAGGAACATAAAATTGCTGAACAAACTAAATAAATCACAGAGCGAACACAAATTTTAGGGCCTTACTTGGCAGCTCTGACATAAGCTTTGAGAAAATTGGGATCAAGAGCCGTAGCCATCAGACAGTCTGCCAAGGCTTCTCTCAGCCTACCAAGTGATATCCGTGTGGCTGCACGGTTGCTATAGCAAAGGACAAGAGGCTTGATGGAGCACTGTGAAGTCTCATTTGAGGGGACAGAGTTAATCCCCTCTGTGTAAAATTCCTCAGCTTTAGACAGATTATCACTTCTATAAGCTTGATTTCCCCTGATACAAGTTCAAACTTTCCCATATAAATAGCAATCCCGTCTTCTCAAAGCAACAGTAATTAACATGAAATCACATAAGCAACAAGTAATCCGAAGAATCTATCCTAAACATTATTAAATGCTAGCGAGTCATCAAAATACCTGAGTCGCCACATCTCACAGGCTTCATGGACTGCAGCAGTAGAGGAGTTAGACCTTGGTTTGAACCGTTCATTCTCCTCTTCACTATGGTATGTAGACTTATCTTTTTGTTGACACTGTGCTGGCTCAGA